ACCTATTGTAAGGCAGCACATCATGGCAGGAGTACACAGGGCTCACCTGTGGCCAGAAAGCAAAAGACAGGAAGAGTGAGTGGACACTTCCCCAATGATATAAAGACCTCCCACTAGGCCCTACCTCTTAAAAGATCCACCACCTCCCAATAGCATCAACATTTAAATGTCTCTTTAAGAGATATTTAATATACAAACTATAGCAAAACATAATGAAACTGTGTTGATTTAAGTTGAAATTTCCCTTGACATAGACATCATTTTTACCCAGTTTGTTTCTATGAATGTCTTTTAGGTGGCTTATGTCAAGTCACTTGTGCATTAAGGATCTTAAGATACTGAGTCAAACCTATTTTAGATGAGAGGATAATAAAGACCCCGTGAACCATGAGATCATCTTCCATGAACGTGCTCTGCTGTATTACTCTTTGCACTGCATCCTCTAGAAGTCAAGGAAGACAAAGTAGAACGCAGTAATTCTTATTATGTCAGAAAAGGAAAGTCTTCTCAATGCTTAATTATCAAATTCAGGAGTCTATGAATTATCACAGAGAGTGCATCAAGCAACTCATGAATCATCCCTGAAATCTGCTTTGAAGACCTCCAAATGCATCCATCATTTGACCATTTCTTTTAAAAAGGCAGGGTCACACTATTGAAAGGGAATTCTGTAGATTCTTCTGCTATCAGGTAAGTAAATGAAAGAGTTATTTTCTTCTCCATGGGTGAGAGGTGTCTTTAAACTTGAGGGAAAGCTATAACTGGACAGCAGTTCTGCAGGCGAGCTACAGGCACACAGGTGTTTGGGGCTATGGCTGAGCAGTGCCTATGGCAGAACTGCAGGGACATAACCCAGCAGCAACATAGGTTGGCCCCAAGAGACATTGTCTTTATGTTCCATATGCTTGCTCGCTTGCTTTGTGGACTCATTTCTTTTAATGACCCATCAAAGCGCTCATAATGGAACTGCAGGCTGAAGTGTCTGACAGCTGGCTAAGGACCCATTACACTGTTGAGTGGGGAGAGTGCCTCCAAGGATATGCGCTCTACTACGTGATATTCAGAGCTCAGCTGGGCCACTGCACAGTAAGGTGAGGACCAGCGTCTTTTGCCTTGTTTCTCTCAGTTGACACAGAAAAATGAGCATAAAAATGAAGTGTTCATACAAATGTGCTTCCTATTTTAATCTCTCTCAATATCCTCTAATATGCTAGAATGTACCAAAATAGAAATCATAGGTGGTAAGCTCACTTGGATACATATGTGCACAGATATACATGTCTACCTACACACATCTCTGTATATTTACATATTTATGCACATACATGTATGTTATTGAATGAATTAATTGCTTAAATGCTAGCTTAGGCCACCTTGTAAAAAACATACCTGGAACTCTATGTAAGAGATTGCCAATCATCTCAGCTGCTTTTAGCACCCACACAGTTATTTTTCATTTGGGAGACATTTAGGAACACAAATGTTATTATGCATTTGTCCTGTCTTCTCTTTTCTGTCCTAGGATTTTATGTCACTGGTCATTGTTTATAGAGCCTCCACTAGCTTGATTTTATTCTTGGTTCTCCATCTAAAAATATATTACACAAAGTGAAGAACATGTTTGCAGGACTCATTTTGAAACAGGAGGGCATTTAAAAACCAGCAGTAAACTGCCTGCAATGGCAAAAGAACATTGTGCTGACTTTTGCATAGTCACAAAACCCAGAACAGATTATTCAAAGAACTCTCTGGAAGCTGACAAGCATATAAAAGCAGTCCTAAGGAAAAAATTTTCTGCATCCTGCCTATATAACAAAGTTACAGCATGTCATTTGCTCTATAAATTGTCACTATTACCACTTGGAGCAGAAGGAAATGTACATATATAAAGATATATATGTGCATAATTTCATATTCCCAGAGGAAACTGAAGAATTATGTGCACTAAATAGTGTTTTAATTGCAACACGAAAAACGACATTTAATGGCTCACGATGCAGTTCACAATCCCACAAGGGTAAAGTCAAGTGAAAATGCTGCTGGTATAATGGGGAAAAGTTGGCCTTTGGAGGAACCCAGGCGTGAGTGCAAATTCTGCCTCTGTCACTTCCTGAATCTACCAGCTCTAGCTGGTCACTCAATTCCTTCAGGACTTTGTTTCCCCATCAGTAAAAAAAGATAACCTATTTTGTAGAGTTAATGGAATTAAAATAGAATGAAAGCTTAAGTCCCTACTTCCTGTCATTTTTGTCAAATTATCAAGTAAATTAGAAAGTTAAATGTGGAGAAATATTATTCCTCTAAGGATTATCATACTAGCCAATATCATTAAGGTCATTCAATATTTGGCAAGATTTAAGACTGAAATTCAATGTCTGGATTTTCTGTTCTAAACTTCTGAGCACATATGCAAGCAAGACATAAAATTCCTCTGAAGACCAACTGCAAGAAAACTATTCTAGAATATATATAACAGAGATACTTACGCCTCACTGGAATACTTCCATTTATTGGTTTTCTAACAAATCTGCATTCTTTGTCTGTACTCACAGTAGCATGCAGTAATCCTCACAGCATTTGCTTTAAGGAGCAGCAAGCTCTATGCTTTCATATTATTTTACTACTTCAAATATGTGTCATAATTTCTTTTTCAACCTGCTGGGAAGGCCCAGATTAAAAATTTCTCATTTCAGAAACCTTTCCATGTTTATTCCAGCCCATGGGTTTGGTGTCCAGTCTAACAAAGCTTGGAACTTCTTTGTGGATACAAGATTATCCTTCTTGCTTAGCACTAGGTTGGGCAAGTTTTACTCCATACCTGAAAACAGGCTGTAGGTTGCTGAGAGATTATAGACCTAACAGGCATTGACAATTGAAATTTTATTATCAGATTATTGTTGTACTGGGGGTACATTGTGACATTTACAAAAGTTCTTACAATATATCATAGTTGAATTCACCATTCTTTGTTATCTCTTCTTCCCCCTGTTCCTGGAATAGTTTCAACAGGTCTCATTTTTCCGTTTTCATAAATGAGTACATAATATTTCTACTACATTCATCTTCCTACACCCTTTCCTTATATTCTCTCCCCTCCCACTGGTACCAACTCCCAGGCAGGACAAAATTGCCATTTCCATTTTGATTATTTAAGTGAGCACTCTTATCACTAATAAGTTACCCATGTGAAGACAGTGAGAACTCCATTTTTAGCAACTGAAGTTCGGTCCAACAAGGACCTAGTGCATTCACATGTGGTTCAATACACACTGAGCTGGCCATAAACACATCACAGCCAGAAAATCCCCTCTGTGCTATCCCAATCTGGTGAAATGGAAGTGATTTTGCTGGGCTCCTCCCTTTGTTCTCCAGACCCATCCTCCATTCCTCCCCACCCTGCCTTGTGTGGAAGGCAAGTGTAAGAATCATTCACACTGACTTCTGGTTTGTTCTGGCCCATAGCTAATGCTCACAGATTGCAGGTGGGAATACATTGAGACTGGGTATTTGTTCCCTTGACTACCTTTCTGTCAGATGGCACATCACAGATTCTGGTAACCATTTTCTCCCCTTGTTCTTCCGGCACAGATTATGGTGGAAATGGCTCTTCCTTTCTGCTAATTCTAGAGTCTGGTACTACTTTTTGTTGGTTTTCCTGAATGTAGCCAATGCCATTGAGAGCAGCCCCTTGTTAGCTCTATCAAATAATATCAGTTTGATTGTGCCATCTGCTTTCTGCCAGAGCCCCACAACTGAGTCTTGAATCCAATCTAACATCAGGAAAAGAGCCACTCTGGACCAGAGCATCCTAGCTTGTTGTTACACCAGAGCTACTACAGAAACAACTACAGTGAATAAACAGTATCCTCTTTACTAGTAAAGTGTAAGAGCCATTGTTATGATCTCTTAGGCAACGGGAAACCAACAACTGCATTTATGCAACAAATCAATCAGGGAGAAGGAACACGTTAGTAAGAAAATGAGAACAACTATAAAACACTGTATCAGAAGATAAATCTGGTTGAATATCTTATAATCTCATGCAAATATCACAACCACACCAAAATTTAGCTTTTTCTACTTTTACTATTGCTGAAGGACATTATTACAGAAGAAGAGAAGGATGGAAAAGATTCTTGAATTGCAATAAAACAGCTGACAAAAATGAACACATATTGTTATAAACACAGATAGCACTGAAGCCCGGAAACCGCAGTGTATTCTCAGCTGTATCCTCTTATTGGATTATACTACAGATAAATAGCTGCACGGAGATTTAAGTGTAGTTGGATATAATCAATTCATGGAATACTGAAACACCTATTAGTGTAAGTGTGCTTTACTTTAGTTTCCTTATCAGGATCTGTATTTCTAGAAACAACACTAAATTTTCACTTGACAACAGGCTTCTCCCTTGAATTAAGAACCTTCACCTAAAATGCTTGCTACGGTTTAGACCTTAAATGTCTCCCCAAAGGCTTAAGCAGTGAAGGCTTGGTCTCCAGGGCAGCAACGTTCAGAGGTGGGGCTTTGGGGGAGGTGACTGGATCATGAGGGTTCTAACCGTATCGATGGATTACTCTATGGATGGGCTCACAACCTACGGGGCTACTGGGAGGTGGTGGCAACTTGGGAGATAGTTGAAGGGTGTGGGTCCTTGAGCGCTTGCCTTTGGGGCTCTGTCTTATTCCTGGCCTGCTCCTCTCTTGCTCTCTGCTTCCGAGCACCATGAGGCGGGTAGCATCGCTCCACCACACACTCCTCACTGGGAACAGGGGCCATGGATGGAAACCCCTGAAACTGAGCAAAACCGAGTCTTAACTTGGGTCAGTGATTTCCGCAGGTGCTTTGTCACAAAGACTGAAGAACGTAAGGCTATCTAGTTACTCTGCTCATCTTCCACAGTCCCAAATCTTTTCTCTACAATGTTCTCAAAGGCTTCATTTGCCTTGAAGTAAAGAGAAGTCCTTTATTTCACCTCCACATGTACTTGTACTCACCTTTCTTAGTCCTCCCCCTCCACCTCCTATTCCTCTTCTGCTCCTGCTTCTCTCCTTCAAGGACACCTCAAAAAGAAAAAAATGTAAAATATTAAGTTTAGCTTAAAATGCACATTGCAATCTCATCCATATTCTACACCAATTTCCAGACCATAAAATTCCTCATTGGCAGACAAAGTGTTCCTTGATAATGCCTAAAATAGCCCCTTTTACCTTGTGCTTGAAACAAAGCACACCTTGAATATACTTTTAAAATACTGGCTTGCAACAACAGAGGCCAAAGGAGGGATCCTTATCTTTTTTTCATTTTTTAGGAATAGGTACAAAGATTCTCCTTGCTAAAAGTGACTAAGAGAAAAGACTGGCTATGGGATTTGGCATAGGAAGTACCCGAAAGGTAGGAGGACAGAGAACACACTGATGACCCTACTTGATATGTTTAGTATGCCAGATATAGAACCCACTGCAACCCATCAGTGTCAAAATGACTTCTAGTCCTTGGAGTCACAATTCTGGGCAACTGTCTTCCACTATGGGTAATCACTCCAGCAGTGAACATAGTGACTATGCTTCAGGGCTTAACCTCCTCCCAATGCCCCACACTCCCCATTACAGTTTGTATGGGACAGATACTCAGTAAGCAAATGTGAATAAATGCTTGAATAAGCTTGACTTTACTCAGCTTGCAAAGTTCATGCCCCTGACTCTGAAGCAGACCAATTTCCATTTACCCTTTAGTGCCTGAGTTCAGGCAGCAGGTGATTATCCTAACTCAAGGGCTATGAAGCTTCAAATTAGCACATTCACTATAGCATATGATTCATCTTCAAAGAACTTTCCCATCCGAAACTAATTAACCCTCCCTGCACTGTGAGGTAAGTGTGGTTGAGGATGTAAGGAGGAAATTGGGGATGGGGGTGTAGGTTACAGGCTGTGCCAAAGGCTGAAGTCATCATACAGTAATTCTAAGTTCAGTTTCTTCACCCACGCTGGAATCCAAACCTATTCACTATGTGTTGCCCGCCTATCACTCCCTGGGCTTTGGGGGAGGTGTGGATAAAGTCTAGCAGACTGAAGCATTTCAAAGAAAAAAAAAAAGCATATAATCTGCCTCTGCTAAACACCTCAGATGTGTGTTCCATAATAATTTAGCATCAGAAGTCACTACCCCAGATCTTTTCCAGCAAGATGTGCTGCTAGGTTGATTTGGTACTGTCTCCTAGAAAGAAGGCTGAAAATGACACATCTTCATCTGTCTTCCTGGGAAAGGCACAGTGAGGCTCACTCTCATGTCTTCAGTGCTGCAAGCTCGTGCACAGGCAGCCTGAGGGCTCAGGGTTACTGCCTGTCCAGACCTGTGCACTTGCTCAGAGCAAAATGATGGCAAAGCCTCCTTCATTCACTTGACTGCAGCTCCTGTTGCTCTGCAGCACACTTCATGTCTCTGATCAGTTCTGCACACTAGGGCACACAGCAAATATCTCAACCTTCTCTACTATAGGCCTTTCTGATTCTTCTGAAGAAGAGCTGTTTCCAAGGGAGAAGCAAACTTCAGCCACAAAGACCACGACCTTTCTTTCTCCCTTTTTGATTCCTCTTCCTTCTCCCACTTTCCCCAAGTTTTAGTCTTTTATGTCATTACTATTTACTTCCCTATACTATGCTGCATAGGATGCTTTTACTAGTACTTTCCTTAATGACCACACTCACTCTCACACCTTCAACTCCCATTACTATATTGCCAATTTCCAAATCACCAGGCCTCTCCCTGACCTGAGGAGGCTGAGTTATAAACCATAGTTTTCCGTCATTTTTATAATAGCATGAGTTGGGTAGGTAACTTCCTATATCATTTGGGAAATGATGTCTGGGATTTGTTTTAAATATTCTCAAAATGGGTGGGGTAAACAATAAGGTAAGACTGGTAAAATATTTCTAATTGTTAAAGCTGGAGAGTGGGTATCTTGGGTCTGTTATACTATTTTCTTTAACTTTTTATGCTTAACATTTTCAATGATAAATTTTCTTAAGTAGGAGAAGAAAATACAACTGAGCTCTTTGGAATGGAGAAAGGCTTTTCTAACTATGATTAAAAGTCCAGGAAATATAAAGATGTAAGTACATTAAACAACTTCTGCATGTCAAAAAATACCATAAACAATGTCAAGAAATGAATAACAATCTGGGAAAATATTTTCAACTCATATCACAATCAACAAAAATCTTGCTAATGTAGAAAGAGCTACTAGAAACCAATAAGGAAACCATCAGCAACCCAACAGAAAGACTGGCAAAGAACATGAAAAGACATTTCATAGAAAATAAATAAAATAACCCTTAAGCACCATAAGAAAAGTCAAGCATCTTTTTGAAAGGGAGAAATGCAAGTTAAGATTATACTTAATGATTCTTAGATTCTGGCCAACCCAAGAGGTGAAAATATTTTCTAATATTCTTTTTTGAGGAGCCCACAAAAAAATCAGGCATTTTCACAGACTCGTGATGGGAACACAAACCCTCAGAAGCAATTTGACAACAAGGGTAAGATGCACTTACCCTTGACCCCAAAATTCTACTTTTGGAAATTTTTTCCTACAAGTGGACCTGCACACATGGACGATTATATATTCCCTTCATATTCATTATAGCACTGATCATAGTAGCAAATGATTGAAAACAAGTGTCCATTAAAAGAAATATGCAAACCCATATATACACATATACATGAATACTGTATGTCACCTTCTGTGTTACAGAGGAAATGAAATCTAAAAATACTATGTGTTTACTTGCATGTATTTGGATATATCTAGTAATAATACACAGGAAATTAATGAAAATGTTGGCCTGTAGATGGAGGGCATGGTTAAAATATATATTATAATAGAAAACAGATGTGAGAAGCAGACTTCTCAGAATGTACCTTACTTCATTGGTTTGATTATTAATCCATGTGAACACATGGCTTATTTTAAAAATTCAAGTAAAACACAATAATTCAATTAGCCTTATAGCTTATGGTTATAGATCTACTCTGTATTTAAAGCTTGACTGTTTCCTAATAGTCTGGTGGCTTACAAAATCCAAACAGTAGATAACACAAACTAGCATTTTTATTTGGCTTTGAAATACATCATTTGGTTGGGGAGGTACCCAACAATTCACCATCCTAATTACACTTTTCAAATTCTACTGCTAAAATTCCCTGAGATCTTGATAAGAGCCATTCACAGTTGTGTCAAATAAAAGCAGATTGAGAGTAGAGGTGAGGAAGAACAATAGACATTCATTCAGAATGGAAAGTCTTACAACCATTCTGGTACACTGATTTGTTGACTATCATCAGCACTTCTCTCTATAGGACAGGTCAACAGGTGCTAAGTTTTTCATCCCCCAAGGTCTATTTCTATATTGTCCTCACTCAAAACTCCAGATTCCATGTTTAGAAGGATTTATCTAAACTGTATACAAAAGTTAATAGTTACCCATTCTTAAGATTAGAAAGGTATAATTGCCATGAAAAGTGTCTGATCCACACAAAATGACTCAGTTATTACATTGCATGATACATATAATTTTGGACAAATGCAAAGATTGTTTCTATACACTCATTGGCCCAAATTGTTTTAATGACCCTACGTGAACAATTCATTTTAGGCTCTTTGAAATATTACAAATAGCTCAGCATCTCCTGTGACTACATTTTAAGTTCTGAGATCCCAGATTTCAGGTTGTTGAGTCAGCAAGAGGAAGAGGCCTGACTATGCCCCAACATTCAAAAGGAGCTGTAACCCACTCTCAAAAGAAAGGACACAAGGTCTTCTTTCACCCTTTTAGTAAGGGTGAAAATTCCTGTTCTTCAGTTTAGTGGATAAGCTAAGTATTTTTCCATCCCTAGGCTATTTCTTAGCATTTCAGTTCCCTTACAGGTAGAATTAAGTCTTCAAAAATTAATGCATAACACTGGAAACTGTGCCTCAGTTTCCTCCTATAATAATAGAAAATAATGATCTCATGTGAGTGAGTTACTTCGTCTGAAGCCTGTAGAGTCATGCCTGCCTGACATGATGTATAAATAAATATCAGCTACCCACATGCAACATGCTAGCAATGGAGCATCTCTGGAGCCAGTCTTCCAGGACTACCTCCTGAGAAGTAACGGAATACATCCTCTGTCCCCGTTTTCCTTAGACTAATTAGCTATGGACAAATGGAAATTACTTACTTCCATAACTTTAACTTATGAGTGCTGACTGATTTACATAATCCTGCAGCTAAGAGGTCCCAGAGCTGTGTTCCTTTCTTTGGCAAATTTTTATCTTTCTCCAAAGGCAATATTTGTTCAGCACATCTTGTCTGAGTCATGACTTTGGGCTGGGGCGAGGCAGAAAATACCAGTCCCTCTCCCCACCTTTGGTACAGGGCTTGGAACCCAGACAGTGAGGAAGCCAAGGCACAGAGTCAAGTGCAGAATCGCTAGCCCACATCTATACAAGAGAGGTTAGAGGAGGCCCAGAGTTGGGTATGTTTATAAATGAGACAACAGAGACTCCAGTTAGACTCCAGAATGTAGCACCTCTGAGGCTCTATTTTCTGTCATGAGAAGATAATACACTCATGATCCAGAAGTAAATAGTGAGTACAAGAAAACAGTGATTACAGTCAGTAGTTTCAGTGCGTTTATCTCTCCCCTCCTGTGTTTCTGCTTCACATTCTATGAACAGGACAGCAAAAAGAACTGGGGAGAGAGGCAGTCCAGAACACCACAAAAACATCCTTCAAATCATCTGCTGTTAGGGAAGAAAATGGATCCAAACTCTGTGCCCCAATAGAAAATGAGAAGTAACATTTTCCTTGCTAAAAGTTTGAAAAATATACCTTTGCCACTCTCAAAGCCTTCACTCCTGATTTCCTCATTATACTTGTCTCATTGGAAATGTACATTTTAATTAACATCATAAAATAATTCAATTTATACACTCTGAGTGCATTAAACTCATTTATTAGCATCCACTTCATGCCTGGTATCCTTTTGTTCACTGCTATCACTTCTGTTCCTAAAACAA